CGAGAAAAGAGAGGGAGATGATATCACTGCAAAACCGGCTTAGCATGGGCCCAAAGACTAGTTCTTTACAGGAGCGATTGATCAATTGTGTTGGGGTATTATTTCTTATATCTTCCAAATATCCTTTGACCAACGCAGTTTTTAAAGATATACATTCTTTTGCAACACAGACTCATTTACCAATTGCTATTGGGTTCATATCTCTCATACATTGCCATCCAATCATTTTACGAGTCAGAAAAACAATGCGGAGGTCTGTTCTATTGGCTTAGTTGTTTATTTTATTAGATTAGCCATGAGCTCAACATAATTAGCTGTTGAGTACAGTAGTCCACAGCCAAGAAAAGTGGGCTTATTTCCATGTCATTTTATTTATGAATAAGATATTATGTTACATTAAGGGCAGAGTGGACCGGGAGCACAGAGAGTGTTTATTATGTATTTGCTATAATCTCTTATCAATATTACCCAGCGCTTCGGTGTAGGCGGTCCCCCGTGTACTGCGGGTTTCACTGTCAGTTTGATTTTTCGTGTAGGCTCAAGAGTCAGCAAGAAAACGAAAATCACCAGCCTTTCCGTTTTTTCGTTTTTGATTTAACAAAGGAAAACGGAAAACCAAAGCCTTTTTCCCGTTTTTATTGTCTGAATCAAAAGACGGATAACGAGAAAAACACTAATTAAAAAAGGTCCGTGTACGTTTTTGTTCACGTTTGATCGTTTGTTGAACCAAAAAACGAAAAATACTGCTCTTTTTACGTTTCTTTAAATCAAAAACAAAAAACGGGAAACCAAAGCCATTTTTCTGAATCAAAAACGAATAACAAGAAGACCCTAATTTAAAAAACCGGTCGGTTCTTGTATTCCATGATAACAACTTCAATTCAATTTTCCGTTTTGTTTTGAAGTAATGAAGAAAAGCAGTCCGGTGGACGGAAGTTAAAGAAGCATATTTCAAAATAAAAGACGAACGAGGCGAATGAGTTACTCACAGGCCACCATCCATGGTAAACTAATCTTTAGAACCGGGCCAGCAAGAGACTCTCGAAACGAGCACTTCTTGTTGGGCGCCCACCTTTGGCAGTTCGTGTCACTCTATCGCATGCTTGTGACGCGGATAGTGGATTCATGGACTATCGCAATTATACATAAACATCATAGATGTCGGCTTCACATAGAGATTAATGACAATCGTATATGCAACAAATCTGCCCTCTCGCTTGCGATTAACTTTATTGATCCGCTGGCACTTCCGGTTTGTTACCCATACTGGGCGTGTCAGCTGCAATCCAGTGGCCTATTGATTTACGCTATCATGACACCAATTGAACAATCGTCATGTTTTGTCTGCAAACCATGACCTAAGAATTTACCTTGTGACAAATGTCACCGATGTTGAACAAGAAAAAAACTCACAAAGATCAAACTACCTGCAACCTTGGCATTTGTTCAATTAAATTGGGAATAAAAATAGATTTAATGTCAACTTACTCATGCAGAGCAGTCTATAGTTACCGGTTTGAGCAGGGACGAGATCGATAGTAGAGGAATACAACTTAATCAGGCAAACAGAAAAACCAAAGCTTTCTATTTCCCGCAGATTATTGGCTGAATCAAAAGTACGCATCATGGATAGCACTATATTACAAAAAGGTCCGAGTTCACGTCAAGTGAGGATTGATGTTTCGGGTGAACCCAGATAACTGATAATTGCCATCTATTAAATCAAAATACAAATAGATAACCGAAGCCTTATCTGAATTCAAAAAACGATAACGATGAAGACCAGTTGTAACAAGCTCCGCGATTGGTCTATTTTGATAACAACTATCATCAATAGTTCCGGTTGTTGAACACATTATGACTGGTAAAGCAGTCCGGCTGTGACTATAGAACGACGAAATAAGAGCACGAGGATGTTAATGGCGCAATCCTGGTAAAAGGACCCAAAGTCTGACGACCTGACTCTCAACTATCCGCACCCATGGTCACGAGGGTAGATGGCTTAGGCTTGCTCATTCACATGCATATAGCGTTGACTAGAGCGATTTGAAAACACGTTATTGCATCAGCTCTGTGGACATAATCATTATTAACGCATGATCATTCCGGCATATACTGCAGGTCAGTCACAAGTCCAGGGATATGGTCTCAGTCGCTGTCTGACAACTAATGAACAACGTCAATGTATGATTGCAAACCTGCCAGATTTACCTGGTTGACAAAATGTCAGCGATGTCAACAGAACTGTCACCCTACCTTCACCCAGCAGCAAGCTTAGGGAGAACAATCATATACAGTCATCCCTAAAACAGTTCACCAGTAATGAACAGTGTTAAGCATTATTTTGTTCAACTAGTCTACATTATTGAATGTGATGTCTGTCGTAAACTGCTAAGAAGCTGACAGCTGATTTAGAACAGAAAGACATGCATATATCACTAGACTCTCAAAATAGTGGTGTGGTAGGCTTACATGAACTGAATTGAAACACTGTCCATTAGTTGATTTAATAAACAATGACATTCAAGTCCAAACTTTTAGGCATTTTCATTTGGTAGCACGCTGTAAATATGGAATGAACACATGCAATGTGGAAACACCACACATAGGTTTATCTCAATCTCATACAGTATCAGACACAATGACTTTACTGAGAGTGAAGATGACATGAACATAGTTACTGTATATGGTGCTACTGAAGACACTAATACAGTATATTGCATGTTACCTCTTCCTCTAACTCTCTCTCCAAAATTGGCCCTCCATTGTTGTTGCACAACAAAGTGTTCAAGCTCAGGTTCTATGTGATCTAATTTTTAACATGTGCATTCTGGGATGGCAGGGCCTTGGATAATGATTGTGGTATTTCAGTGGGCAGTGGTTTTCCAAACAACACACAGGCTGTCGGTTTTGAATTAACGTATCTAATGTAGGCTAAATAAGACGTGAGTAGTTATTTGCAAAAAGTGTATTTTGGAATATCAAACTTCAGTGTAAAAGCAGACGATGTGCTTATGATTTTTAGCATATCTCGTACAGATAGATGAGAAGGCAACTTGAGTTTAATAATTGTGCCAAAAAGTACCAGTTTGTGTCTTGGTAATTGCACAAAGCTGTATAGGCCACAAATAATCACATTTTTCTAAAAACACAGCAGCAACTATTTATACCAAAAATGAAGGCCCCCTGAAAATAAATCGCAATTTTTAAGCATTAATAACGTACACTTAAACTGATATAGCCTTTTTGGGTGGATAAAATAATTGTAGCTTCCCTCCCAGTAAATGACACGAGGCTGAGGTCTTGATTAAAATACAGGTTTATTCTTGTGGGACCTATTCCAACCCGTTGAGAACTTGGGTTGTAAGACAAAAAATATATACAAGTTCATGCCCTATTAATGTTGCACATAAAAGGTAGAAACCAAAAATACAACGTGGAACAAAATAAACAATAAGTTTACATAAATGTTGCTTTTTCCGTCTCAGCAGTACGGCTCTGCTGTGCCGGGCTCCTGATATGTTTTCTCCACATACGACTACTAGTAGGTAGTACACTGATTATGGATATTATACCACATACTCCGAACACCAAAGTAAGGGGGGGAACACAAAGACAATAGGAGGGTTAAGGGCAGCTGTTGATGTTCACAACAACAACAAACGCATGCAGATGGTTGTAGTCTGTAGCCAGACAGTGGTAGATCTGGTTGTAGTCTGGTAGCATGTTGTTGGGCAGCGGTGTGACTTCTAGCTGTCATGGTGATGTTCATATACAAGGGACTGCCAGCTTGAACTTTACAGAGAGCAGAGTCCACTAGTGGCACCTCACAGGGATACCTTGGTGCAGAAGCAGCAGTGAAGTCCTTGTAGATCCCTGGCACTTTGAGGGCAGACAGATCCAGCAGCTCTCAGCTCTCAGAGACATCAACACATAAACTATTTTGTGTGCATAGCTTACTTTCACATAACTACTAATCTCTCACTTTACTTTCTCTGACATTGTTCTCTGCTTTGGATTGCGGACATCCCAGCCATGTTCTCTACCGGGCCTGGTTTTACACACTGTGGGTTTAAGCAAGATATAGAAATGATGAGATGATGAGTGTATGAGACATGATGAGTGTGTAGTTTTAGTATTTGAATTACAATGACATTATTCTCAGACTTGCCATAGTTCTTGGTTTGTACCACTGCTGCTCTGCTCTGTACAGCTGAGTACTGGGGACCCACTGGGAGTCATGTGACTGGAGCAGGAGAGTAACACACGTCACACCTGCAGCCATGATGCTCCAGCTCAACGAGGGTCAAGTCTTTCAGCCCCACCTGTAAGAAGAGAAACAAAATAAATACGTATTCAGTTTGCTTTGTATTATTTATTTTAGGGTAACATTTTGGTTTAATAACATTGTGCTATTTTAAGGAGTAAATAAGAAGTCATATATTTTTTACAACTTCTTATACACACTGATATTAATTGATTTACTTTTATACTATGAACGAAGAAAAATGACTCTTTAACAACAGAACAGGAACAAAACACAACTGTGACCTCTGTGCAGCACACACAGACCAGTCAGTCCATTTCTGGGGAGTAGCTACCTTGTGCTAGTTATATTAAAGTTTATCTTTTACTATTGGCTGTGTCTAACCTGTCTAAAATGAGCCGAATCCCCAGGAACAAGTTGAACCAGACAGTAAGAACAACTTTATCCTGAACTCACTGTGGGGCCTGTCTTCATGGACCTGTAGCATAACACCCTGACACATACAAAATACAAAGTATGTTCATTAAGAATGCACATACTGTCCCTCCTCTGTCTTTCAATGTAGTCAAACTTGTTGAAGAAAAACAATAAGTTTAACGTTACAGAAATAAAAGCTTAATTACTCACCCTGCTAATTGTACTACTTGAAACATTTCTCCCGCTTGCTGCTGGGTGCAGGTGAAAGTAGGTCGACATTTCTGTTTACACCGCTGACATTTGTCACAGGTAAATCTATAGGTATCGCAACAAACATGACGTTGTCACACAGCGACAAGCTGGACACTGGATTGACCAAATAACTACACTCTTATTTACATTTGACACGTTATTCAAAACCGACAGCCTGTGTGTTGTTTGCAAAACACTGCCATTGAAATACCATACTCAATCATCAAGCCCCTGCACCCAGAATGCACATGTTAAAAGCCATGTAACCAATTAGATCACTTAGAAACCTGAGCTTGAACACTTTGTTGTGCACAACAATGGAGGCCATTTTTGGAGAGAGGGTTAGAGGTAGACTGTATTTTGTCTTCAGTACCATACGGTAACTATGTTCATGTCATCTTCACTCTCAGTAAAGTCATTGTGTCTGATACTGTTATGAGTATTGAGAAGAAACCTATTTCTGTGTTTCCACATTGCATGTGTTCATTGATTCATAGTCCATATTTACAGCGTGCTACAAATGAAAATGCCTAAAACTTTGACTTGAATGTCTTGTTTATTAATCAACTAATGTGTTTCAATTCAGTTCATGTAAGCCTCACACACACGTTCCTCTTTTGAGCGTCATGCTACATAAAGCACAATTATTTTAACTGACACTCAAAGAGCAAAACATCAACTCAAATCACGTTTTCAGCTTTTCACACAATTTGCAAATCAACATGGTACTTTTTGCAAACCACTGCACACGTTTCTCCACGTAAGACACAGGAATCTGACATAAAGTCACGTGTTAGCACATACATAACACTGATATCAAAATGCCTCACGCATGGACCAATGATCAAGAAACACGTTCCACCTGACCAAACACCTGGTAGCATAATTGTTGGCTCATCAATCTCCTGATTGATAAAAAGACCACAGGTGAGTACTTTCTTACAGCAACAATTGAAGCCAACATGGATGCAAGAGCAAGAGGAAGAGCTGGGCTGAGAGTGAGAGGAGGAAGAAGAGGTGGGGTGAGAGTGAGAGGAGGAGGAAGAGGTGGGGTGAGAGTGAGAGGAGGAAGAATGAGAGGTAGAGGTAGAGCTGGAGTGAGAGGATGTGGACAAAGAAAAATACTCTAATGAAATGAAATGTTATCAACCATGGTGTGACGATGAGAGAGGCTGGACAGAGGGTTCAGCCTAATCTAAGCCGATTTACTGTTGCCTCTGTAATCCGGACACTTAGACTTGAACACAGGTTAGTCACCAGTTTACAGTAACTCTGCATAACTCATGA